GGTCCCCTCCTCACCTCTCACCCGTGCGCCCGCCGAGTCGATGATAGGCAAACCCGCAACACGGCGGCGCGTGCTCTAAATCACCCGGTACACGAGCCCGTACGGGAGAACGGCCGCCAGGGAAAGCGAAAGCGATAGCGAAATGGAAAGGGGAGAGCCGGGCAGCAGGGAGGAATGGCGGGGTTTTTAAATCCCCTCCCCGTCCCCACTGCGGTCCGCCAATCGCAGACGTTGCTGCATTACAGAGATCCTTATTCTTTTATTCTCCGCTCGACTCGACTCCGCTGCTCCGCTCTGCTCGGGCGGATGACGCTCGCGGACAAACAGAAGGGGAGTGAGCCGCTCCGGCCCATTTGCATCGTAACGAGGTATTTGCGGCGGGAAAAGTGTCGTCAGGAAGGCGATCCGTATTTGGGAGGGAGAGAAGGGAAAGGGGGGTGGGGGCTAAATCCTCGCCGCCCGTCCTCGGGCCGACTCGGACTGACTGGACTGGAACTGACCTGGGTGTCCTGCAGGCGAGCCAGCTCGGGCTGCAGGTAGTACTGGATGCCGGTGAGCGCCCCGGGCAGCATGAGGCCGCGGATGAGGAGGATGGTGAGCACGACGTACGGCATGGTGGCGGTGACCCACACCACCAGGCCCGAGGACTTGACGCCCTTGAAGAGCGACAGGTAGAGCATGCAGTACACGAGGCCAAGGCAGATGACGAGCTGCCACTTGGGCGTGCCCATGTCGTGCAGGCCCTCGGACCACTGCATCTCCAGCACCCCGCGGTGGAAGTACTCGGCGGCCGGCGAGTGGTGCAACCTGGCAAACAGGACGCAATTTAATGTTTCATTATATAATAAGAAACATTTCTGATTAAATTCAATTCCTTTCTTATTCCTTTTTAAAAAAATTGTATCTTGGGTCGTACCTTGATGTTGTGATGTTAGACAGGACGGAAGAGGCGGTCGCGGCCAGCCCGGTGAGGTTCGTGGCGTTGCTTGCCAGCAGGTTGGTGGACTCCCAGCACCACTCCGTGTTCCAGGTGTTGTTGCAGTGCAGCCAGGGCAGCTCGGCCGCGGCGCTGGCCACCATGAAGTAGAGCGCCCAGCCGATGATGACGTTGTAGTAGAACGACACGTAGAAGGCCACCATCACGGCGCAGAATCCCACGCCTGCACAGTTAATCTTTTGGTAGTGTCCTTACATGACTACTTTCTATACTCCAAGTAAAAAACCCGTTTTCCTTTTTTAAAATCATTTCAACTGTTTCTCACCCTTGAAGAGAGGACACACCCTCCACACGCTGATGGGCCCCTGACGGTTAAACTGTCCCAGGATGAGCTCCATGTAGAAAAGCGGCACGGCGCCGAACACCAGCATGAGGGTGTAGGGTACCAGGAACGCGCCTGCAAGTCATTGCACGTGTTCAGTCCATAAAACGCCGGCCGAGGCCTTCTGCCAAAAGCGAGTCTACGTACCACCGCCGTTCCGGTAGCAGAGGTAGGGGAAGCGCCAGACGTTGGCGAGGTCCACGGCGAAGCCGATGATGGACAGGAGGAAGTCGGCGTTTCTGCCCCAGGTCTCCCGCTCGGGGTCCACCGCGGGGGGCTGCACGCAGGCCACGATGACGTCCTTGCGGGCCTTCTTGTGCTTCTTCCGCTTCTTTCGCGGGGCGCTCCCTCCGCCACCGCCAGCGCCACCGCTCGCACAGACAGGCGCGGCGGACGCCGACGCGGAGGTGTCGAGGATGGCGTCGTCCTCGGCCGCCGTGTCTGCACTGTCCTCGGAGCCCGTCAGCTCGTCCGGGGAGGGTGAAGGCACGACGTACGACTTGTAGCCCTTGTCGGCCACCTCCACCTGAACGTCCTCTGCAATGAACCCATGCAATCATTGGTTAAAGTGCTGTCCGATGGCGTGGGAGGCGAGCCGGGCGAACCCTCTGGAGAGGGCAGTGAGGCGTCGCAGCGTCCACAAACAGAGGCGACGCCGACAACCACCCGGGGTGCGCCCTTGCACCCTGCCCATCCACGTGCGGTCTGGATGAAGGACCCGAGTCCTCAACAAACACTTTCCCTAGCAGTCCCTCTCCAGGGTTGGCCGGCGGCGGGTACCATACTCACTCTTAACGGTGGGCGACAGAGAGGCTGCCGCCGGGTGGGCGGGCGCCGGCGCGTAGACGCCCGACGACGCGGCGCTGGAGGGCAGGCGGCCTCCGGTCGGCCCGGGACCCATGGACCCCATCGAGGCCAGGTTCTCCCGGATGTTGACGACGGCGGCGAGGGACGGCTTGTGCAGCGGCGTGGACGAGCCCTTGTGCCTCGGCACGCCGCCGCACGCCGTCGAGATCATGCCTGCGCACACAGAGAACGGTCATGGTCGCGCTACTGTGCGTGCACGCGCACCGGGCCCCTCCCCTTCTTGTCCGTGGTCGTGGCCCGGTGGCCCAGTGGCTCTGAAGCTCACTCTGGAGCCCTCTTCAAACTCTCGTCGCGCCACTCAGTCGATTGACATCAAAACGGCCCTCCCGCCCCGTAACCGCATGGAGGGAGGGAAAGGGTTGCGATTGGTAAGCGGAAGTCGTTGGGAAGGTAAAGAGGAAAGGGAGGGGGAGAGACGTAAAGCTAGGGGGAGGGGAGGGGGGGTTGTTTTGTTGCGTCGGAAGTCCTCATCCACGCGACAGGCGCCAACGCCGCACACAGATTGACACAGGTGAGGAGTGCGCGGCGGGGAAGCGGCACGCAGAGAGAGCGAGCGCGAGGGAACGAGAGAGAGAGCGAGAGAGAGAGAGAGAGAGAGAGAGA